ATAGCATCCAAAGTCCCCATATATGCTATTGCCTTAACATAAATATTAAGGTAAGGGCGTAAAGGTTCGTTGTGTACATAATTGTAAGAGGATGTTAGTCAACACTCACACTAGTGCATTAATTTACGTGTAGACGAATGTTGACTTGTTTTATATTTGTACTTAATATTTATACTGAGAAATTTGCAGGAGAATTATTGATGGCATATGTAGTGAGTATTAGAGTTATATTCCTACATGTGTACAATTGTTTTAACAGTGAAATAAATAATATAATTGAATGTTATAATTATTCCAATTTTTTGTTTTTTACTAGATACATATTTTCTATATATATGTATATATATATATATATATATATGAGATCAATATGTTATTCATTATCTGCGAATGAGTCATATTTATCGTCTCTGCATTATTGTAAAAAATATATCATTCAAGACTAAAGTGACGAAGTTAATTATTGGTATCAGCTAAATTGATATGAACGATTGAAATTATGATATCCTTATTTGAAATAGTTCTTTAATTGTGATTAATCAATGATCGATAAAAATGGAAAATCACGTCCTACTTTCAACAACAACAAAAATCGCTCACTTCGGTATAATAATTCTTATAGTAATAAGACATAAAAGATACATTATTAATTCTATCTATTGAATTTGCTAATTTCACGCAAGAAACAATAAAGAAAATAACAAATAATATTATTAATTATTAAATTATTACGTTTTTTAATTCTATTAAAATGGTTATATTTTATCTCTCATAAGTATACTAAAGTCTTTTTATAATTTAAAATATTTTATTATTAGTGAGTTATTATAAGTCGTAATCGTATGTAATACTTGATAATCTTATTTATATTGAATTTAAAATTGTTTATACTGTCATTATTACTAATAGATTTCTTGAACTTTTTATCCGATCAAGCGGAATTAAATTATTTTCTATTTTATAATATTGGTTAAGATTACTTTTCAATATTCTAGATTCGTTAAATTAATTTTTAAAAATACATTTGTAAACTTTTAGAGAAAGAATTACTGTTACACAATTGTTATAACGACTTTTGACAACAATAATACAATAGACTATTGAATGGTAATCACATAACAATTAGCAATAAAAATTTGTTAACCAATCGTAATATCGAATACAATGTTGACAATAAATACTTGCACATATATTATTAATTTTGTACATTTATAATGAATATTTATTAAGTATAATGTTAGATTGATCTAACATTAAATTTCTTTATTTTTTTTTTAAAAAGTTTAAAAAATAATTAAAATTTATGGATTAATAATATCCGTGCTAATTAATAACTTATCGGTAAACCTGCAAATAGTCAGAAAAGTAGGTAAAGTAGTGTAAATGAGAGGTGGGATAAAAAATGTGAAAGGGAAACAAAATTCTAAAATATCTAAAATATGTGTGTGTGTGTGTGTGTGTGTGTGTGTCCGTACGAGAAAAATAAAAAGAAAAGAGTTACAGCCCAAGAGAATCCAAGAGAAAACACGAAGATTCAAGTAAAAAATTTAAGGATTTAGATCTAAAAAAATCTTATATATTATAAATATATGTATTTGATTGCTAATGCATATGAAGAGGAGAAGGAAAAACACGGGTGTAGAAAGATAAAAGGAGAAAACACACGCGTATGACGTAAGAGCATCCTCATGGCTTGAGGTGACGCGTTGATGTTTTTTTTTTTTTTTTTTTTTTTTTTTTTTTTTTTTTGTACACTGAATACACGTCTGCGTGCTCGGTAGAGCCGAATTATAATTTCGTATCACGTATTCGACTTGCGGATAGAGGATACGACCTCGAGATGTTAAAAGAGTTAATAGGAAGAGTAGAACTATGAAAAATAAGCATTTGCGACGAGTCGTATTGATATATTAAGCATAGGTGTAACTAACCTGCATTAGTCAATTAAAATTATCGGGCGAGGTATTTTGAATAAAATTTTTAGAGACCTCCCAATCGAATAATTAACATGTAACTGCGTAGCAAGGAGATTGAATAAAATAATATAAATAATATAAAAGTTTTATAATAAGGTAGCTGAGAAAAATATTTGCTTGTTTTAAAAGTATATTTTGTATCGTCGTTAAGAGAATAGTTTTGCTTTTTTATCTTATAAAATTGAAATAAAATAGTTTCAAAGCAATGTAGGTACTTTTTCTTTTCTTTTCTTTTTTCTTTTTATTTGTTTATTTTTTTTTTGTATTTTTTTTTTTTGTATTTTATTTTCTTTTTCTTTTTTCATATAACGATATAACGATAACGATAGTTGAAATTTCAGTTAATCATTAGATCTAAGCAAATAGCGTTTAGCAAGTGAACGATTCAATTTATTCTATTAACTAATGAATTTTACCTTAAATTCAATATGTTTGGTGAAATAAGTGACTTTATTTTATGATCCTTTTGTGCGCAGTGAATTTATTTACGATATTTTAGAATAGATAAGGTACTCCTTTGCTTCCCTAACATCGGCATTGCGAAGGTGAGGTCTTGATGAAGAAAAATAATTCTTAATTAATAAGGGAAAGTGAAGGTTGAAACTTGTAAATCCATGGGATGTGAAAAAGCACAGTGTGGATGTAAAAAATATTTTATCGCCTATCGTTTTTATTATTTGGAAAAAAAATTTTTCCTTAAGTCGGTTTCACTTACAGATGTCGAGGAGAGGATTTTCTTATAATAATTTTATCGAATATTAAATAAAAAAAGCCTAGCTAAATGAAGATATCGATAGTCATTCAATAACTACAATATATTGTCATTATTATAAGTTTAACGAGATATTTACCTTAGGTATTAAAATTTTTAAAATGTTTATATATATAAAGTATAAAAAGATTATGTAAGTAGTAAATGAAGCATAGATTTGTACAAATTTAAAAATAGTAAATATTAACAAATTATTTAATTTTAAATATCGTAATATTATATATTTATTTTTGAATTGTTTTATCGATGGAATATGTTTGTTCATAAGCTTTATAGAATAAAGAAAATAATTATATATGAAATTTCACGAGAAAAATAATTCTTTTAGATTTACTAAAAAAAATTTTTTTACTCCAATCAATATTACAAACTTAATTGAATCTTATCGATTAAAGTCGATTGAAAATCCAAAATAATTAAATAGAATATATATTAAATAAAAATAGCTTTCTTTTACATTTTTTTTGTTTTTTTTTTTTGTTTTTTTTTTGTTTTTTTTTTTGTTTTTTTGTTTTTACATTTTTTACGAAAATTTAACATTTATTCGAGATGTAACGATTTGCTTTACTTGTTCACTTGTTCTTCTTCTTTTCACGTAAGTCGGCAAGTCATTGTTTTTTTAATTTATTTGTATACTTGATAAGTCGACTGTTACTCAAATCGGTTGTTTTCTCTTATCCCTTTCTTTAATGAAAACTGTCGTTTTTCAAAATATGATGAGCTCGACTCAAACAATATTATACACCGTGATTTATTTAGCGACTTGTTTTAAAGTTTTCAATCTTTCGTATTAATAGAAAGTAGCCAGAGCATTGCTCCTAATATATCAGCACTACAAATGTATGCTTAAGTCAGCTACTTTCCTCGTTTAATACTGATAAAAAAAGACATGGATAGAGGACTGTGTGAAAAATTTTATAAATAAGTAATTTGCTTTATCGTAAGTGATAATTTCAATATCTCTGTTTACAGTTGAAGCTATATTAGATTAATACGAGACATCTACATTTAACAATCTCACCAAATTTATATTATTAAGCTTTTGAATTATTGTTTAAAGCGATTTTTTAATAGTAACAAGATTTGAATTCTTGTGAATTTTGAAGGACAATGGACAAGAGTTAATATTTACTAATATTACAAAATTAAAATTCTATATGAGAGAGAGAGAGAGAGAGAGAGAGAGAGAGAGAGAGAGAGAGAGAGAATCGCGTAATACGAAATTGCATTTCAGTCATGTTATTTTTGGATTTTTTTTTTTTTTTTTTATATTGCAACATACATCATCTGTAATCTCAACAACAATAACAATATATTTCATTTATGAAGACAACAATTCTTCATGATTCCCAAATAAAAGAATCGTGTGCATGAATAAATAAATATGCACGAGTGTCGCGATGAGTACATAAAACTAATCCCCAACGCCGTCTATCGTTGATCGCTCGAGATTTCTGTCGAGATTTGTAAAATATTCTGCGGAAGTTGTGAAAGGGCATCGTATTAACAGGATTGCATGGTCATCGGATATGTGTTTTGCGAGTTGTGAGCATTGCTATCCAAAGGAGAAAATAAAATTCATAAAATGCACATATTTGAACTTGGGTGCACGCCAAAGTACAAAAAAAAAAAAAAAAAAAACATTAGAGGAAATGATATTAGCGGGGAAACGATTCGCTTCGAGCATGATAAGAAGTCAAGAAAATTCTCCATACTTTCGACATTAGCGCTACAAGATATGCTTATCGTACATATAATGATGTTCGGGAAAATATAATCTAACATATCGATATCCGTCGGTAATGGATCGCGCGCGAATTTTATCAACGTCAAATAATACGCTCCCATTGAATGGAGAGAGACAGAGAGAGAGAGAGAGAGAGAGAGAGAGAGAGAGAGAGAGAGAGAGAGAGTGTGTGTGTGTGTGCTCGAAACGAGCGACATTCGCGAAACTTTACCGAAATTCAGAGGCCAGGAGGTCCGTGTATGGCATCTTCGCTACTTGGCTCCTGCGAATATTATTCGCCCAAGTGACTTTTGCGCGATTGTCGCGCCATCGGACGACAAGTCTTGCACGTAATTCTAAAAAGTGAGTGAGAGTGAGAGAGAGTGAGTGAGAGAGAGAGAGAGAGAGAGAGAGCGATAAGTAAAACGACGTAGTGTCGCACAATTCACATACGAGCGTGTATTAAACGCGGGTGCTATCCGTGAGTTCGCACGATTGCGTCTGTTTGTGTGGTAACATCATATGTACAGTAGTAGAGTTCGCTCGGAGGAGAAAGGTTAACTTGGGCGAGTAAAAGCGTAGAGGCAGGAAAAAAATTGTCCTATAGAGGCCGAGTTAACGACTCGTAAGATTCCGATGTGCATGGTGAGACAAACACTTTCCGACGTTGAATTTTAATAAAACCGAAAGGATAATCTCACCATCTTGATCGCTCACGTCTTAACAATCATAATTCGCGAGCAGAAGGTAAAATAACCTTGCGATCTTTTGCTTGCCTTATGTACAGATTTTTACGCGCACTTGGCTATTAGCATATATAGTGGAATGCCACGAGTGCAGAGCAGACGCCAGAAATGATAATTTCCATACGTTAGATGCTCTTTATGTTATAATTATAATTACGAAATAATCATAGGAATGTAAATGTCAATTTTATGCAGGAAAAGCATGAGAGAGCGAGATACTCTATATACTACAAAGCTCACCTTCATCCCGCATATGTGATTATTGATAAAGCCAAGTGTACAGTGCTGTTGCTGTGCTCTTATTGAAAATATGGATTTCGGTACGTTGTTGAGTGTCGCTCAGAAGAATGAGCTGAGACAATCGTCGAAGGCGTGCTACCAGACGAAATTCACGCCTCCCAAGAAGGAATCCAAGCAGTCAAAGTCGCTGTCAGATAATATAAAAAAGTTTTTAGCTAGAAAGGAAGAGGAGGAGCGACGTAAGGTTCTTGAAGAAAAGAAGAAGAAGGAGGTATCAGGCAGATGATGTTTTTTTCCTTTCATTTCTTAATGCTGAATCTAAATTTTGTTCAACAATCACATGAAAAGTATTGATACTTTTAGAATCTCTTGGCTTTGCGGGACCATAAGGCACAGAGTCGCATTAATAAGCATTTAAAGGTCTGTAAAGCAGCTAATAAGTCAGTCTTAGCCGATGCCATAGATAATGAAAACACAGCTGTTACAATCGCAGGTTTGATATCTTGCTCTATTTAAATTTCCAATCGCATCGAGAATAAATAAAATATACTTATATATATATCTATATATATATATATATATATATATATGTATATATATGTATATATATTGACATGTGAACGACTGTCTAGTACGCCAAAGAATTATTTATTTGTGTTTTCATCGGTGATGTAAGAATACAAAATATGATATAATCAAAGCTGCTCTTTATTCATTATTTGAGTTTTTTTTTTTTTAATATTAATCTTGCTGACATCAATGTTAATAAAATGCTGGATACAGGAAAAAATCTCTATCGGCTACCGAATCACGGATTAAGGTTAGGTGCTATTTATAATGCTTTTATTGAAAATAATTTCAAGACTATTTTTGGTAGTCGAACCAATTATTCGATATTATATTATCCATTGCATTATAGTTATCCGTATTCTTTTACATCACATTTCTTATGATTATTTAATATATGATGTGTTATTCCATTGGGAACATGGAACTTCTATCTTTATTACTTATTGTTTTGCAGCGCATTATACTTTATTCTTTGATATTCCTTAATTTTTACAAATTTTTCTTCATATTGTAGGACCCTCGCAATGCGACGAAGACGATTACGGATACGTCTCACAGGAGGCTTCCGCATTTTACAATAAGCTAATGAATAAATATAGTAGTCTACCTCCTGAAAAACCTTTATTCAGTAATGACGGTAAAAAAACTGTAAAAGACATAGCGTCTACAAAAGTACGATATTATAAATTAATTTTACTTTCACGTTATTAATTTGTTTCGCATATAAATCTTCTTCTTTTTCTTTTATCAATAAAGGATAGGGTTAGACAAGCATTAAAACAGCAGGAAATAGAAGAATCTCTTCCACATAGGCGAAAAAGAAAATGCAAAGAATCTGAAGTCGATAATAAACGTATGAGAGACATCGATGATTTTGATAGATATAAGGATAAAGATGGGGAGAAGGATAGAGAAAGAGATAAGGAATTGGAAAATGAAGAAAAGCCGCGACCGAAGAAAAAATCAATGCCTCCACCGATTGACTTTTCAGACCTCCTCAAATTAGCAGAAAAGAAACAATATGAGCCCATAAAAATTGAACCAAAACCAAAACCAAAAGAGGAGCCCGAACGATTAATGACAAAAAAGCAAATGAAGGAATATGCAAAAGAAAAGGATTGGCGAGAAAAGAAAGAACAACGCATTAGAAATCCAGAAGCTGCGAAATCAGCACAATCTACAAACGATAGCAATAAAATCGTTAAACCCACTTTAACAAAGTGTTCAAAATTAAGCAGTGCCAAATCAACGAATGATGTCAATCATGAAAAGACTGTCAAATCATTGCCAACTATTGTTAAAAAATCAGTAGATCGTCCTGTCGAGAAAAATTATAATTTAAATAGACCCGCCGAAAGAAACAATATAGTGCATAAATCCACGGAAAAAAGTACTACGATTAATAAAACAATGGAGAGAAGTAACAATGCGAGTAAGTCTATAGAGAAAACTAATAGTGTAAATAAAAGTCTGGTATCAAAAATGTCAGAAAAGGATGTTATTGCACAAGAGCGTAGAAAATTGGAAGAAGAGAAACGGCAATTGGCAGAAATGCGACGTAGCATTGAAGAGGAAAAGAAAAAATTGCTTATGAATAAAACGAAAAAAATTGAAGAAAACAAAGCTAACGATTCGCCATCACATAAATCAATGGGAAGCAAAATTAAAGATCCCGTAAAGCCATCGTCTTCCCTACCTAAAAATGTTCTGCCAAAGCAAGGTTTAACAAACAATGTTAAATCTAAATTATCGCCATCTGACGTTAAAGCAAGACAGTTCCCACCCGCGGATACGAAATCAAAACAATTTCCTCCATCAGACGTAAAATCAAAACAATTTCCTCCTTCCGATGTGAAACCAAGGCAATTTCCTCCTCCAGACGTTAGATCCTCCAAACCTGATTCATCTAAACATCTAAAAGTATCTAAAGGCAGGTTCTAACTTGATAAATTATATTTCTAAGCGATACCTTATACATAACTTTATGCTAAGAAATAACAATTATAAAATTATAAACTGATTATATTACAAATGCATATCAAATTACATTCTCTGAAATTTCATTTTCAAGGACAAAAAGTTATTTATGAATTTTTATTTCTTTTGCATAAGATACATGCGAGTAGATAAGAAGAAGATAAAGCGTGGCTTTTTATATTAAAATTTTAACAATATACATTCACAGGGCGTATTTACGATGAAGATGATGACGAATATGATTCGGACTTTGATGATTTCATCGATGATGGACCGGTGGATGACTGTGAAGATTACAGTAAATACATCAGTCAAATATTCGGTTACGATAAAAACAAATATAGGCAAGAAGACGACGAAGATGATGTCGGCATGGAAAGTAACTTTGCTCAACAGCTAAAAGAAGAATTTGTGTCTACAAAAATAGGTGCGTAGATTTAACCTCGTTAAACAAAATTTTCTATTTGAATTTTTTTACTATAAATTATGCTTTGCGTTGTAGGTATAATGGAAGACCTGGAAGACATTCGCCAAGAAGCTTATGAAAAGAAAAGGAAAGCACTTTTGAAAAAAAATCGCAAAATGTAACGTGTTATGAAGTTAATAATAATTGGAAAGTATCTGAATATAAATATCTAAAGAAAATTCTTCTTTAAATTGCATAATTTTTGTCTTTGCAATGACATTTCTTTAGATACATTTTAACAATATGTAATATAATACTTGTATTATACGTTGTACAGAAACTTTTTTAGTATTATTAACAAACTAAAAATACCAGTTAAATGCAATTAGCATTTAATAATGCTTGAAAATTATTATTAAAGTTTGATTGACGTCTTTTATATATTGTACAAATGAAATTTTTTACTTGCATTGAATCCATTGATTTCGTGCTAAATTCTTTCTATACTACGAGTAACATACGAAACATATTATGTCAATCAATGAACGTATATTTTTTCAAAATAACATTTAGAAGATTTTTCTGAAAGAATTTTTTTCTACGCAGTAATGAAAACTACTTAAAATAAAAGCAACTATGAAATTACACTCTACGTCATTTTTTAAAATAATTCATTTTAATTAAATCTGTATTAGGAGTAGTAAAATAATTTAATATTTAATGGAACATTTTTTAAACGCATATAATAATTAAGGCATATTTAAAATTTCGACGAGTAGTAATATTAAAAATATAGTATACTGTAACTTGTAGATCAATAAATTAGATTAGAGACATTGCATAATTTTTATTAAGAGTAACTAACTACATCGATATAAGCATCGATATAAGCAGTCATTTTTATTATTACTACTCTCAATCCCACAACACCTACGCATTTTACAATTTTTACAATTTTTACTATTCCCGTCATGTTTTAGCATTTTTATAATTTTTAAACTTTCTTAATACAGTATATTCAAATAGAAAATTATCAACTGTACATCATTATTTCTGTGTTTAAACAAGTTTTTAATCTTATTTTCTGACGAACTATTATTTCGTATTGTTTTATTTTACGATAATTTTTTTTTTTTACCAAGATATTTTCAACTAATCAATGAAAGACAGCTATTTCGAGAAAAAAATGGTCGTACTATTGTATAATAGAGTTATCAAAATTCATAGTTTAATTAATATACGCTGGTAAATGCTTGAGTTAAATAGTTTATAATGAAATATAAAATCACAATATTGTATACATTAATATTATTCTTAACTTTTATATGTGATATTGTTATGATACTTATAAGTAGACCATAATTATTAGGAAGGCATTTTGTACTATGTACATATCATGAATGTTTTATAATATTTGTTGTTTAAATAATAAAAAATGATAATGTGTTGAAGAATCTCTCTTGTGAACTATACGAAAGGAAAAATTTTACAATACTAAAATAGTCATGATCAATGTTTAAATTTATTATTATTTAACTATTATTTATTAGTGTAGTGATTATTGATTTCAAAAATTATTTTAATCTTTGAATACTCGTTAAATAACAGTTTTCACGCACAAACGCGTATGGATAATTTTTAATAAGTATGTTAATTTGCCATTCAATTAAGGATTTCTTTGAATTTGAAAAACATTTGCTTTTATTCAGTATGATGCATTTTTAAGGCATTTTTAAACATTTCATTTAAAATCAAATTATATTTCGAATCCGAATCAAATGAAAAATGAACTTAATTATAAATATTTAATTACACAATATTTCTTAAATAATTTAAAAAAAAAAAAAAAAAAAAAAAACAAAGACAAAAAGCGTTAAGGATTTAGAGAAACATAGATTATAGGCATAATTCGTATTACAAATATTTTTCCAGCAATTATAAACATAGACAATAGTTTTTATAAATTTTGTAAGCTTATTTGAATTTGTAACGCCAGTGATTTCATCGGACTATTGCATTCTATGGGATTACATGTATATTATTTATTTTTGCAATACCATTCGTACTCTATTTAATTATTATATTAATGTATTATTTTTAATTATGTATATTGAATATATATTTAAAAAAAAAAAAAAAAAAAACAAATTACAAACACGACCCTGTTGAATATACAATTTTTATGGTAATTTAAAATTTGTCCGATTTTAAAATTACTTTTTAAATTAATACTTTGAATAAATAGCTAAATTTTCTAACTATGATATTAAATGTCAGCTATTTATAAACAATGTAATATTTACTTACTTTATGCTTTTTCGTAAAATTCATTGTAGAACATTAAAAATTACATTGATGTAAGAATGAATATATTGATAAAAAAAATATATATATATATATATATATATACTTTTATTACACAAATGGAACACAAAAGACGAGGATGAATTTTATAATATGGAATGAGTTAATTAATCGCTTAGTTCGACATGTAGAAAATAGAATAGTGCGCATACGATTTTAAAATATTTAGCATCGAATAGTTATTTAATCATAAAATGTATATCGACTTTCGACTTTTTTTTCTTTCTCTTTTTTTTATTTTTAACGTCTATCGGCTATAAATACTATTTTCATTTTAAATAAAATCAAATCGATTGACTCCAACTTACCCGAGGGTTCCTAATTTTATATCCCGCCATTCCCGTAAACACATTATCATAATGAATATTTTTGAAAGTTGATTAATGAATGTATTGAAAAAGATAGGCGGATGATGTTCTTATTGGAATTAGACGCCGATCGCCGCTTTCTTCATTAATAACGTAGTAGTCACGGCCATTGATGGAGTAAGTTTTTCGTGATATTTCTTCATGCAGTTGGTACATAGGTGGGGGCGTCCTTATCCAGAAATTTGTGCTCTCCTTTATGTAATTCCAGGACTCGGGCGAAGCGTCGATATTCTTGATTTTGCCGGAGGTATACTTGACAAATGCATTGGATTCGACGCATTTGCGTATTAATCTAAGAGTTACAAACAAATAACAATTGATTGTTCCATCAGTGATTGAGAATATATAATTCGTTGCTTTTACAGCCGACGTTTGATCATTGTTGCTCGAATTTTTCTTCTCGCATTAATGAAAAATAATTGAAATTTGCCGATCGAAAAATTTAATTTTCGAATCTCGACCAACGACATATAATCTCGATAATAAAAATTTGAAAGATCGGTGCACAAATTATTATAACCATTACTTAAAATACTTTTTCTGAGAAGATAATAATAAAAAAAAACGAGAAATGTAGTTTTATTCTTACCTTGAAAAGAATTCTATAAGGAAAACTATTATAGATACGCCCATTCCAGCAAATACAACTTTGTATGTCATCCAAAGATCTGAAATTTTCAATCGTCTCTCTTTTGATTTCAGATTCAATGGGCAAATTTGAGCCTCCGGTAGTTTTTCTAATTTAAAATGCTTCACTAATCCACCTTCTATTGCTGCAGTCATTCTGGTGAATTATGCCATAAAATAGAGTAAAATGAAATATAAAATAATATAATGTCACAGATATGACAAATGTCGATAATAAAATTATTCGCTAAACTAAGTATCAACAAAATATCGTCGCACAAACATTAAATAATGTATAAATAATTATTTCTGATTTTCTAATTATATATAATGTAAATTAAGCACTTGTTTAAAATTTTTGTATATAAAAGTGAACAATATTTAGATAAGTGAATAAAATAAAAAACCTTGTGCAGATGACAGAAGAGATTAACCAGAAAATTATTTTTCCCGTTTTCAAAGTAAACTTCAAGAACCCTAATAAACTGTATCCTAATACTAATTTTCTTTATCTTCTTATTATTTTACTTTTCATTTCACTTATTTTCATATATTTTTTTTAACTCCTATATATGCAAAACATTTTATTACCATTTTTATATTGAAAAAATAAAATGATTATTACAGTACGAACTTTTATGTGAGACTTTTAAAAGTAACACATAATACAATAATATTCCTTCATATTTAAAAGTTTGCTAATAGTGTGCTAATAATGTTTAATGTAAATAAAAATTGTGTGACATTGTTTTTATCTATTGTAGATATTTTATTTTCAATAGTATATTGTCATTGTATTTAGTTTATCAGCTTTTACTTTTCTCCTGTATAAATCCATATAAATAAATCCATTAGAAGAACTGTGATTTTGTGTGTCAAGTGTTTAAGGTATTGTACATTTATAATATGTTTATTCATAAAATTTTCTTTTCTCTGAAAGCAGCCTGATTATTTTATCGGTATTCATGCTACTAATTATGTTTTTGCTGACAGTAATTCAATTTTTTAGTTAATTTATTTTCTTTACTCCCATATATCTTTCTTTTATTTCCTGGGCTACTTATCTACATAAATACTTATCCTGACATAAATTTAACAATGTATCCTTGAAAAATGATAAAATACCTACAGCTATTTATGAAGTACAGGCACATTGATAAATGTTTTAAATAATTTTTCAATACCTGATAGTGTGTAATAAAAATTATCGAATTATCTATATATATATATATATATATATATATATATATATAGAATATTGATAAAAAATTTAATTCATTACGAACTTCGAAATATCCAATGTAGTTGGTGACATTTTGCATAAAAATAGTTTATATCTATTATAATATTATTATCATACTTAATGTTATTATAGAAATAAATAAAATTATTATATTCTTGTATTATCGTTATTTCTTTTAACTGTTTTTTTTTTTTTTTTTTTTTTTTTAATTATATTAAATTCATAATTAAACAATTATTTTCGTATATTAATATCGAGTTTATTCACGGATAATAAATGCTCGAACCAAGCATTTCAAATGCATCATGAAAAATTAAAAATGTCAGTAACATTAAAACTTTAAAATTAAAATATATCAAAATCCGAAGAATTTTCGAGTTATAATTCATCGGAACTTCAATGCTTAAGCCTTCAGTTTGCATTATAAGAGTTACAAATTAAATCTTCCAACCATAGGCATATTATTTGCTTATTAATCTACAAATAGCGAAGCCAATAATAATAATTATTATTATTATAAGTTAATAATTATTGACAGCTGCTTAATATCGAAGAAATAAATTAAGCTGATATGGCTAGGATAAGAAGTTGCACGAGTAATCTCAAACTCCAGTTCTTGCTCCAAAAATTTCATTATCCAAAACATTAAAATTATATATAACGTTATTTTAATTATATTATTACAAATTTATCATTTCTATTCCGAATTCTTTAAATGGCAAGCTCATTGTAATTTAATTTTTAATTCTTATATAGTAAAAGGATTATTAAGAAATTATTAAGTTTTCAAGTGATAAACTTTGTGTTTTATTGGATTTTCATTAATATAAAAAATCGATTTATTTACAAATTTTTAGACCATATACATGAATTATAATTATATTTCCGTAATGTATATTGATTAAAGTACATAATTCATATAATAATAACATTGAAGTTTAGATGTACTATTAATGTTTCCAAGCATTCAAAATATATAAAAACTAATCTGTCTAATGGATTTGTATCTATATTTAATGAAAATTTATGAACATGTCTGAATAATTAATACAAAAGTTATATTTCAATTTTTATGTATAGTGTACTCAACTCTAACGACAAAAATTCAACATTTTCTACAAAGACTAAATATTTATCTGAAGCTTAATTCTCCAATCCGTGACATATATATCATCTTTAACAATACATGTTTAAATATATAGATTTTCTTAAAAATAAATACGGTTTTTGTTTTTGTTTTTTATATTTATATTTATATTAACGAATATTCCATATTGCATCATCGTGAATTTAAAAACACAATATTTATTTTTTATTATATAAAATATTAATCGGTATAAGTTCGGCAGACATTATTATAATAGTCGGTCATTGTTGCATATTATGAAAGTACATATTATCACACTGTCTTTAATTAACTAATAATTATCTAAAAAATGAGAATTTCTTTCTTTCAATTAATTAACGTATAATTGTAAATATGACTATGTAACCCGTAAGCCGTAAATTTACCTGAAATCTTGAATAACGAGAATCGATGTCTAAATGTATATTTAACACAGGAGATAACTTTGGAAAAATTCTTATCAGTATTTATATGAAGTATTGGATAATATATTCCATAAAGAGTAAGTTTAAGAAAAAGGAACTCAATTTTTATAAATAAAAAATTATCATAATTTAAACATTAATGATTTGTTGTTACAATTTTATATAATAAATGATAATAATCCAATAGATGTAAAGTAAACGTTTAATGTATAAATGTATATATTATGGAAGAATATTGGTTGGAAAATTAAAAACATATATGCATTTTGTGTTCGTTGTCAGCAAAATTATTTTTAAATAATAAATTCTCAAAGTTTATTATCGATAATAATTAGACAAGAATAAATAAGAAGTAACGAGTGCCTCGAATAATATAAGATGCAAATTCCTATTTCTATTCTATGCAATATTGTTCATTATTTTTAAATTTGTGATAAAGTTTGTGAAAATCTCGATTCAACCGACATTTATTATAATTTTTATAAAATAATCGACAGTAATATCATAGACAAATAATGAATTTATAGCTTAAATTATTATCAAAAACCTTAATTAGATAAACATTAGATTAATTTACTTATTTTCTTACTTGTTGCATTCTCAATACAAATATAATGAAATATTTCATCAATGCTTATCCGTTATATATCCCAACAATTCTGTTTCAAAAGAACTTTAAATTTCAATTTTTTGTAGCTTGGAGCATCAATAAAGTTCGTTTAATTGAATTGACGAATGAGCAACGTTTGCATCTCATTGCATTCATATAATAATTCTAATAAATAAATTATTCTTACTCGCTATTGATAAACTTTTGAATGGGTGATCTTGTTGGGAGTCCAAATCCTCGCCTTTTTGGCAAAACATTCGACTCGCTTATCACATAGGCACATCGCTTTTCTTCTATTATTCCTTCGAGTGTTTTATTTTTATAATCCTCAAAAATTGCCATCTGAGCTAGAATTCGATCGGCTATAAATACTTTTCCATCTAAAAATAAATAATTTCTTATAAGTAAACATTTATAATTAAATGAAATCTTACTTCAATGATGAAATCTAAATATATCATACGAATGGTAATGAGATTTTTAAAATTCTTTATCACTACGCTATATTTAGTATAAAAAGACCAAATGTACGATTTATTTATCGATTGTTTTCATTTTAATTACAATATTTAAAATTAATAGGCAGAACAAAAAATTCTTACATATATATATATATATATATATATATATATGAATACAAATAAAAAAGAAATAAAAATCAACTACTTGACCATAATTTATTGTCGGCATTGAAAATTTCAATATAAAAATCTTAATCTCTTCGTTATAAATTTTAGGGAAAAAAAAAAAAAAAAAAAAAAAAAAAAAACAGGTACAATGTACGGAAAATGGAGTATGTTAATTTCTTATGGGATATAATAATTTTTTTTGTAAACATTTATGATCGGAAGCTACGCTACGGCTTACCTCTGGCATATTTAAGCATACTTTTGTAGGTCATGTTATAGTCGTTGTATAAGTAACCGTAACCCCAGTTTCTTGATTTTGTAAGTGCTTCTACTTCTGGATCGTTCTAAAACGAGCGTTTAATTTATCGAAATTTCGAGTAATTACTTTGGGCTGAATTATAAATCATTAGAGCGATATTTCTTTCAATACTTAAGCGCAATATTAAATCGAACAGAAGCTTTAATCGATTGATAATGTCCGTAATTTTGAACATTAATATGACAATTGTTAACTTACATAATGCAAAAGCGTCTGCACAGATCGACCATTAATTATGAACCACGAGTATCTGTAATTTACCAGTTCATCTAATGAGTTTATGGCCAGAGTAAATTTAGATAAAGTGAGAAATGCTGTTAAGTTCGCCGTATAGTAAGAGGTCAAAATTGTGATAAAAATCCACCATGTAGCAAAGACCAATCGTGTCGAATCTAGAATTAGGTGCAACGTTATTATGAAGGTTTTCTTTTAAGATATTTATTATTATTAAGCAATTTTTTTCTCTTATTTATTAATTCATTCAATTATCATATGTCGATGATCTCGTGTCGATTTTACACGAGAGCTCAATTTATTGAATTATCTTTTGCTTAATACAAACGTATTACAAGAGCTAAGTGCTCTAACTCGTTGCTTGCAATATAAATTTAAGAATTATCATGTCTTGGCATAAATAAATCATGATCGAATATTATAGTTGACATGTTTTTTTTTTTTTTTTTTTTTTTTTTTACACGACATTTATAGCGTGACTCATAATAATTCGCAACGGCATTGCCATACGCATTATGACGTTGTGAATATGACAATGATCGTACGACCTCTCCGATAATATGGACAGTTAGTCATATCGCGTAGACGGAAAACTCGGGATTCCATGAGGATTAGTTTAAATAAGTAAATATTGATATTAAGACAGCGACTACCGAGCTTGTGATCGAGGTCTAAGGTAGCGTGACCCGGGAACCAGTCGTTAGAGGACGAGCCGACGTCTTGGGCAGAAGCTGCGCGAGATCAATTGGCATAGCGAAGGCACTCGACACTTGGACATTCGATGAAAATGGACGAACTTCTCTCGCTATTACGAAGCGTAATCCGGGACTTTTGTTAATCTGCTCCTGCTTATTGCGGGCGGTTATTGAGCAATCGACGGCGGTGTACAGGGAATCACCAGGATAAGGATTACTATTCGGCAGGATTATTATCCAACGCGTTGAATACTTGCGCTACGAATGTTCACCGCACGTGTTGATTGTTTCGTAATTCTCATGCATATTTTACAGAGAGAGAGAGAGAGAGAGAGAGAGAGAGAGAGAGAGAGACCGATATGTTTATGATTGTTTGATGCGAGCATCGGCCTCTCAGACTGACTTAAGCTCATACAGACAACAATACATTCGTTAGAGAATCTTCAAAATTTACTTTACACAACATTGATATGGTCGACTTGATAGTCGACTTGATTTTGATATACTTGATAGGAATTTTTATACTTTGCGAATATTCAATGTTTCTCAACGAGCAATTTATTTACGCGTTTACAGTAGATAATTCAATGGCAAAATTAATTGGAAAATCTGTCATTTTAAGCTGCTTCTTAGATCACGATTGATGAATGTATGTGAAATACCAATTGCGTATGAATAAATAGAGATAAAAGATAGAAAGCACTATTTTTACCTCCGATTGGAGAAAATGTTGTCCCTTGTTTGAGTAAAGCTCCATAAACGAACCACATGCATGTTAAAAAGGTAAATTTTTCAGCTTGTTCGTCCTTTGCGAATTTAGATCTGTCAATAAAAACAAAAAACAAAAAACAAAAAACAAAAAACAAAAAACAAAAACAAAAAATAAAATAAAATAAAAAAAAATCACATACGAAGAAAAAATTAATTTCTATATTAACATAAGAGCATGAAATTGAAAAATTAATAAATGTAGATCAGATTACGTTTATCCAAATTCAATGTGAAACGAAATATTTCATCCCTTAACTCAATTAATAAGAGCTAAATTAGCTTAAATGCATGTTCTTAATTTACCCGACTTGCTTATGCTTATCACTTATAATAAATATATTTTTAATGTTCAAAACATTAATGAGTCGAAGGTCGTGACTTATTATAAAACTAAGGGGTTACGTTAGTAATTGCAAATAATGCAAATTTCATTTATTTACAATCGAAACAACTTATTCGGCATGCATTTTTATTATAATTTTCAAGTTATATTTACCATTATATGCATTATATATGAACGGATATGAAAATTCACAAAAAAAAAAAAAAAAAAAAAAAAAAAAAAAAAAAACTTTTATGTCTTATAAACTTTTACGTTCAAAAACGTTTTTTCGCCTTTTCTCTCATTGCCTATTAAGCATTATTATTTATTTTATAAGATCATAGGACTAATAAGAAGAATTGTATATATGACGTAGAGAAGATCGAACCTCAACAAAATCATCAAATAAATTGTTGGCCCAACAATCAGCAATGAGATGAAAATCAAAATCCACACTTGTTCAGTAAAAGGTGCTAAAAGTCCAGACCCTGATGATGATGTACCTGGCCTCTTCATCAGAAAAGTTGTGTCCATTTCATCTAAAGGTACAGAAAAATCACAATACTTTCTGAATTCATTTACCATCGGTATAAAAGCAATTGCCAAATCGACCTCCTGTAAAATACATTTGTAATTATGAAATATTTTTGAAAGCATTGTTACTTGCATGACTTAAACCTATCTTTTGTCTATCGTTTAAACTTTTAATAGTAATAGAAGAAAATTTATAACATTTCAGGTTGCTGTATTATGTAGAAATAGAATTTATGTAGAAATCAATGTTTATAATTTCGCTTCTAATATATTAAATTATTATCTATATTCTTTTAGTATATTTAATTAGTTGCGAGGTTTTACATAAAATTTTACTTTATCAACACAACAATTCATAAAAAGAAGTTTTTTATTTGAAAATATTAATTATGATAAAAACAATGTTTGTTCGGAAGAATACAAAATTTCAAAATTAATCTGATATTTTGTAATTAGAAACGAACTCGTTTAGTAAAGTTTTCATGATGATAAAAAGAAAAAAATCATATTAAAATCGATTATACTTTTTTTTATCTTTTTTTTTTTCCTTTTTTTTTTCGAAGTACATTTAATTTTCATGATCTTAATTTAACATACGATATTGAAAATATTATTATAAATAAACGGCATAACGTAATCAAATTCCGTTCTTCTATTAAACATTAAAAATCCTTCGCATATTCATTTTATGATAAATAATCAAACGTCTGAAATATAACGAATTCACTGAATATATCTGGAAATAAATATTTAATAGAATAGTCACGCGAATAATATTCGTCGCCAAATTAATGAAATTTACCTTGTTATATAGTTGCTTTATCATACCCGATTTTTGATCTCCGATAATATCTTCTGCTGGTGGGACAATAGTATAGGTAAAATTAAATTTTCGAACGAGCAGTTTCAAAAGTTCGAAAGCAAAACCATCACCGTCTATACTACCATTATTGTTTATAAGTATCGAATATGGCCAATCCTACATTCGAATATCATATATTTTTTTCTTTTATAAAAATAGTAATCTTACATGTAAAATTAATGATACATTATAATATCTCTAATACGAAATTTATTGATCAATGTAACTTACAGAATATGACGTGATTCTTATGTGCGATGGAAATTCTTTTAGCTCTTGTTCTTCATTCATCGCGAGACTTACTTTGATAATTCTTTATTATTAAAACTTGCTAATCGTTATTCCTTCTTTTTATGAAATAGATTATTATTTTCTTTTTCCATTTTTGAGAATACGTTAATTGTTTATATTTGAGAAGTAACATCTCCTACAATTATGATTGTATGATATTTGTATGATAACTGATTTTGTCTTTATGTTTCATAAATCATTTTACATTATTACATGTGGCTGCTTTAATTTTTCTTTTTTATTGAAAAAAAAAAAGATGTAAGTGGATAAAAAAGAAAGAAGGAGGGAATCGGTTATTCAGTTTTTTTTTTTAATTTTTATGCAACTAGTTATAAAAACAGTAAAATTTCTAATGAGCGTAATCGTCTAATTTTATTGTATTTATTATTATAGTGAAGCCCAGTAAATTCTTATATAATCATTAAACTCGATATGATAATATTTCTTTTTGAATAATATGCTTAATAATGAATAAATTAAATATATTGAAGCTGGAGAAATGCATCAAAAACGAAGAACTTCAAATTAAAATTTGTCCGCATTTTATTATATTATTATGATATATTATTAACTGATAAGATATTTGTAGTACGAACATTAATTAATAAAAATTAACCATCCCAGAATATTTAATATATTAATTATCAATTAACTGTAAAAATACACAATTTATTTAAATAAATTGAAATTGATAAAGTTTCAATACAATTAGAACTGTCAGCAAAGTTGTTTAAATTAAAACAGTCACGATGAAGTACGAATTGGAAATAATTGAACGGAATCCTTCAAGATCTTCAATGAATTTAACAAGTCGACTGATTCATTTCTTTATTTTTTTACTCAATTAAATTCCGAAACAAGCATTTATTATAAAAGGTATTAAATTTCTTTAAAACAATGAGAGAAAGTGTTCGTTTGATAGTTCAATTAAATTAATGAAATGGTAAATGATTGACATTGTAGTATCGATAATTAAAAAATGTGATATATATATATATATATATATATATATATATATATATATATATATATTATTAAACATAGAGAAATATGTTTAAAAATAAGTGACGAGACATTGAAATATAATATTATTAATAAATTAATAAGCCCAATATAAATATATATACATATCAAGTTTATTTTCCAATGTTAAAAAATAATTGTAAAAAAAATGTTTGAATGTTAAAAAATTTATAATATCAACTTAATTTAAATAAGTAACATGGAATATCTATTATAAATTCAGATAAACAATAATAATATAATTATATATGTTTATAAAATATAAAGTTCAATCGTCAGTTTTATCGTTTAATCTATCATAGACTATGATTATACACCTCAAGAAGCATTTTCATTATCAATTAAAATATATTTTAAAGCTTTATTTAATAAAAAAGACATATATAAATAAAATATTGCTTAATATATTTAGATTATTATATTATTTCTCATAATGTGTTAGCTATAGAAAAATTGATTTCACAGCCAATTTCTTCGATTTATGAAAAAATATACATATTTTTTATTCTCTACAAAATTTTTAAATGCACTAGTGTGGCATAAAATATAGAATTAAAATTACATTGGCCAATTGGATGAAAGATGATGAAAGAAACTGTGATGTATAAATAAATGCCTTAATAATACAAAAGTTATTATTTTTTCTTATTATCGAAAAGAACGCATATACATTTGGTTAAAAAATAGATGCAAAGGAAAGGTTTAAATGCTTAAAATTATTATAATTATTTCCTTTCCAAAGTATCTATCGATTTTTAATAATACGGTAGTTTATTAATGAAATAATATATATGAAATATATCAATTCTTTTTATAATATTTACAACTAAATATACTTATACAGTTATTTATATGAATGAAGCCTTATTTCAGTTCGTAGTGCAATAAGTATGTCATTAAATACATTCATTTACTGCAAAATCTTATTTCGACATTTAAAATTCGAAAGACATTTAAATAAACGGTAAGATTTTTTTCAATTTTAATATATTTTATTTATTCATTTATAAAGCAAGACTTAAAGCTTAACGTCATGTACACTTAATATAGTATTAAAAATATTTGGCATTGCGAATTGTTATATAGAATGGTTATATAGATATATATTTTTATCAAATAGAAACAGAGATAAATAAAGTATATTGGAGTTTTATTACAAACACAAATAAAACTAAAAAATCATAATAAATAATGGAGTGTATAATATTTTTTTAGTAAGTAGCTGCTCTTTGCCATTCAAAAATAATTTGTATTAAATTGATATATATCCATATCAATAAAATTTTATTCAATAAAATCATGAATTTCACTGAAAAATGTGTAAAATATTTATTATATTATACGTCGTGATAATAAGAATCGAAATGATTCATCACGGATTAGAAATATCCTTTGAAAAAATTAAAAACAAGTAAATGAAATGAACAATGGTTTATTATAATAGTAAATAGCGTAAAATTCGTTAGTCTATAATTGGGATAAAAGTTACCTAGAATTACTGCTTTTCTTCAAAATCCTATCTGTATTATTTTGAGAATATTTTTCATAAACAAAAAAGTATAATAAACTAATTATTTATACAAAATAACTTAATTTTAATTCCGTTATATTAAATGAATGAAAATCGAAAATATGGAGATTTTACATGGTTAGTAAATTTTTATTATAAATTAATAAAAATAATAGTTACATAGATAAGTTGTGTTATATTCTTAATTATTATGAAATAATTCTAATTATTAAAGTCTGTTTTCAAATTCTACCGTAATCGTTATTTCCTATATACACAAATTTATTACTTCAATATTTAATCTGTCGCACTATAAATTTATCGGAAATAAATTCAATGGATAATTAGATTTTCTTCATACTTAAAATTTAGTTTCATAATTTAAATTTGTCAAATAAATCTTTATTATTTATTCATCTCTATCGAGTTTTTCAAACTATAAAAATAAAATGTTAAGCTTTCATCTCCAAATATATCATTATAATTAAGAATTTTTTAACATAATTTCTCATCTTTTTGTTTAACATTAATTTTATAATTTATGAACATAATAATATAGTATAAACAATAAAGTGTAAGAATAAATTGGAATACATTGTATTCTATGTAATGAAAACGCTGAACAAAAAGCAGAAAAATACTTGATTGCGAATTGACAAAATTATAAATTTAGGTGTTTTATTCATATATATATATATATATATATATGGAGTGTATTGTGTTATCAAACATTTAAGTTATAAAATTAAATCAGTTTTGAGCTCTTCTACAATTATATGAACTTAATTACAGATATAGTTGTTTTTAATAATTCACAAGTTGTAATGAATAAGACAATATTAATTTGATTAATGATTAAACTGTAATGTCTGTGTTCTGTCTGATGCATCGTATTGAGTGTTTGGTGTTTGTGTGTGTGTGTGTGCGCGCGCGTGTGTGTGTGTGTGTGTCTATGCATAGGATAAAATGTTAAATACTTAATTTATAGTGTGTAAATATCTTTGACCGCATATGTAATGTTAGCTAAAGCTTAATTGGGTGCAAAGCTTATTTATCAATTAGCATAAAAAAGTAATTTTAATTACAAAAAATTGTCAATTTCATGATAATAAATTTTGTCACAATTAGCATTTTTCATAATTAATATTAAAATCGCACTTAATATTTATTTATTTATTTATTTATTTATTCTTTCTGATTTATCTGTTTGAAGAACGTTGAAAGGCTTTAACTAATTTCATCGATAATTAAATTTTTCCTAATTGTGTCATTTATGTTTTAATTAAATGAAATTACATATATGCGTCAAAAAGAAACAAGTTTTTATTGACTAAATTACACTTTATGTTTATGATAAAAATTAAAGAAAATACACAACATACTTTGGATTGTAGATACCGACATTCTTCACGTTACAATCGCAGAAATGTACTCACAGTCTAACAATAAAATCCAAATTCACCTTCCGATAGAACATTGAAAAATCCAAATCTTAGTGTTGTATATCGGTACGAGCACAAATCGACACTGACACCTCCTTCCCCACATAATTCATTCTCGTCTGACCCCCTGCCCACCTCCTGTCCACACCCCCACCCCCCTGCCCTTCAGCCAAGGCCTTCGCGTGACTATTTTCAATCGAGTATATTTGTGCCTACGTTGAGCACGGGGGAAAGAAAGTGTGAAGAGCGAGGAACAATTTAAATGTCACATTTAGGCATATTAGAAGAAAGAAGATAGCAAAGAAAATAAGAGTGGGAGGACACACGATACTTTAAAAAATATGACGCGGAAAAACACTAAATGTACGAACAATAATGCAGCTCGATCGATCCGACCTGGCTTCGATCATTCCATTTTTTATTTTCTTTCCTTTTTATTCTTTTTTTCTTTCTTTCTTTAATCGATTAACGGGTCATTTTACGCCTTGGCAATCCCTCGACTTTTCTCGTTTCACCAGAGAAATTTTCTTTGTCATCGACATTTTAAGGCACTTTTTTACGAGCTTTATTTGCTTTGTTGTCCTTCGATTTTTTCTGAATTGGTAACAAAAGAAAAAAAAAAGTCATGAGTACCTGAAATTCTTTATTAAATAGAAATAAACGGTGGTTTATACCATTGTAATTGGATAAAAACTATAATATAATTACAGATTAATATAAAGCACAACTTATTGCTCGAATGACGTTTAGCATAAGGAAATTGTTTTGTATAATGAAAATAAATTTTCATTGGGCACTATTATCAATTTCATTATGTAAATATTCAAAATTTCTTTTATTTTGTACAAAACTATAATAATTTTATTTATTATGCTTTATTATATGGTTTAATGTTTTTTTTTTTTTTTTTTTTTTTTTTTTTTTTTATATTAATTATACTAACGATTTAATATTATATTTCGTTTTAAACTGTAGAAATACATTGCTTGAACCTAACTTACAATATTTCCCAATTTACATGATATTTTTCTTTCAAGAGCC